CATTTCATCTTTAATATCTGGGGGTGAAATTTCAAAGAGCAGCGCTGGCACTGGATTACTGAGGGCAGTTATATTGTCACATTCTTATACAATTTTTGCATTCTTTTCAACACAGCTTATGCAACTGAATTGACTGGTGAATTTTGTCTTGCGGTTCACTCCCGATTCCTACAGTGACACCAAAGCTCTGTTGTCTGAGGCATTACAGCCACTGCACATTGCTTTATGATAACAACATGGTTGCTTGGGTTGAAAGGAGTCCTTTAGTTATAAAATATTTGGCAATAGCCCAAGCACTTAGTTTCATTTACTTGTACGTACTTGCTGTGGGCATTTCCCTTGGCTTTTAGGACTGGGAATTGAAAACAAATATTTAAAATAAGCTAGACTCACCACAACTGAATATTAAAAAAAAATGTTATGAGCCTTTGTTGATTAATTAGTGAAAGTTACAGTGGGATGAGAATAATATTACTAAAACAAGATGTGCACTTCTTGGCTTTTTCCAGTATTAGGAATTCTTGGTGTTGATGATACTTAAAAAAATATCGGGTAGTAGCTAGGCTAGGAAGAGCTACATTTCTGAAAGAGGCCCATAATCTCCAGCCATTCACCATACAGAACATTTAGAACAGCTCTCAAGCTCATGAGAGTGAGTTTACTGTCACTGTTTCCAATGGGAGCATTTTTTTTTCCCCTTCTAGGAAAAAAAGGTAATGGACATAGTAGGAAGTGCTGGGCCTTCCTACAGGTCTGACCACCGCCCTGCAAGACATTGGTTTGACTGAACATTCTAGTTTAAATCACCATGCTCTGTTTTTCATCTGGCTAGATGAATCACACTGTGCCACTAAAATAAATAATAGAAGCAAATGTACTTCAGGATTGATTTTATTTATTTATTTATTCAGTTTATGTAGCCGCCCATTTCAAATTCACGACTCTCCTCCCCATCTAGCTCTTGCTGCTGCTTTGTTACCCCTTTTCAGATGTGGCTGCATAACCAATCATGCTTACTCACTTTCTGCTTTCCTTTCCTTTTTCTTTTTTTTAAGGAGTTGCTTTGTCTTCAGTGGACACCTCATAGTATTCACCCAGTGATAACAGCAACTTTTCAACCAAGACAGGAAAAAAAAAAAGCAGTAATCAAGATTTAAGCTAAGGTAGCAGTCCAAAGAAGCAAGGTGTGCATATGGCTGAAATTCTTTTGGTAGTTGCACACATAGTAATAGAAGCCATATTTTCAGTTTTGGACATTCAGCATTTATTTAGGACAGTGTTCCTTAAAGTGTGGTCCTAGAAACCTTGGGGGTCCCTCAAGACCCTCTCAGGGTTCCTCAAAACCAAAATTATTTGCCAGCCTATGTTGAAAAATAATACAATATTAAAATCCCATCAAACAATCATAAGAAGTGGTAGCAGCAGCAAATG